TTTTAAGAAGCCTGAGAATACATATCTTGAGCCAGTTGAGATGAACCCATACCTATTAAAAAATCATGAGACAAATTCTACAAGTACAAAATTCCTTGAGGATCAAAACCTCAAAGAAACCCCCCCCCCCAAAAAAAGAAAAACAACTTAATCATCAGACTGTTGTCCTCAAAAGGGGCCATTTCTATAAGGGTGAGAATGCAGATTGAAGTCTGTGAGTGGCCACTTAGTGCAAAAAAAAAGGTAAGGTCCATATCCAGTCCACTCTTCCTGAGACCCCAGATAGCTCGGACCAACATTGGGTAATGGCATTTTTTATTTTTATCATCAAAATGCAACAATGTTCACTGGAAAACAGGCCATATAATGTCCCAAAGCAGTCGTGTGGATCAGAGTTCCACATACAAGAAGAAAATCCCAAAACAGCCATATAATGTCCCTTTCAAAACCATTGTTATCATAAAAAATTGCTTATAACTTCAGAGATCAATGGTCTGAAGTGATTTCTGATCCATTAAATTTTAAAAACAAACCAGTTGAAGCACCTTTAACACCTCGATAAATGGTTAAAAAATTTATCTATACCTTATAATATTGTTTCCCACCATATACCAGAAGTTTAACTTGTTTTGATTGATCAATCAAAAGTGGTCTCATCTCAAGCACAAAATACCAGTTCAAACAATCCAGAATGTTGACAGACTTCTTTTCAACCAAACACTAGAAAACCATGTCAACACATAGAAGAGAGGAAACTAAACAAGAAAAGTAAAAGAAAGTAAAAACATTGAAGACAAAGATCTTAGAGGTTCAAAGTATCGGTACACCCTGATACGTTGGAAGGGGCTTACCGACATTTTGAACCTTGTGCATGGAATTTTTTAGTTTTTTTTTTTCAAAACTAGGTCAGGGAGTCGGTTTTAGGCCTGCCTACTCCCTGAAAATAACCAAATTCTCAAAAACACCTTATTTAGAGTATCACCAGCCTGTCGATACAATACAATACACCCAATACGGGGTGTATCAAGTCAAATTTTGAAACTTGGATCTACCTGGTTCAGTCTAAATGCCTATGTCCATCGGAGAGGAGGAGATCAATAGACTATATAAAAAAATGGAGATATATATCTCCAAAATCAGGGTCAATTTCTCACTGTCTCTCAGCCCTAATACCTCCCATCATTGTCTTAAATAAACCCAAAACATAACAGTTCCAGAATCACATGCAAGGCCCCTTAAATTCCAGAACTACACCATTTGCCCTAGACATTTAACAACAATATAAAAATACTTCTATGATGTCCAACGTTTTTTTATTTGTCTGTTACATGGTAACTCTTTCAAAGTATGATATTATGAAGCTAATTTGATTTTGATGTGTTATTTATCTAGAGTTGGAGCAGTCCCATGCCTGAAAAGCTCTCAATGTCCAGAAAAAAGTATGTTCTTTTGAAACTAGAAAAATGGAATTTTTCCTTCAAATTTTTTGCTTTAATTTCATTTATGGCAATAGTATTTGATCCTATTCTGATCATTAACTTTTGTACATTATTGATAAAGAAATACTAGTGTTTTATTTTTCTTTATAATAAATTAGTGTCATCTGTAGCTAGATGGAGATGATATATAAGAACTAGTTTATTTTAAAGGCCCGATTACCTATTTCCAATAAGATTTCATTAAAAAGACTAGACTTTATGAATCAATAAAAAAGGGAAAAACAGCAGAAATTTTGACAAAAAAAAGTGAGAGAGAAACAGGAGGGAAGAGAAAGAAGAGCGAAGGAAAAGAAAAAAAAAAAAGAAAGGAGGGGAGAAAAAAGTGTGCTGCTTCCTCCTTACACGTAATTTATATTAAAAGAATAAAGTATGCACAATGGCCATCATACCCCTGGCCGTCACATACTTATAATAAAGTAACTAAATGTATAAAGATATAAAAGAAGTCTGGCCCAATAGGCCCATTACATAACCAGCCCATAAATAAAACAAATAAAAGAAGCTAAGGATATAAAGCTGTAGGCCCATATCTCAACAAAAGAACAAAGAGATACAAAACTAAGAAGTAGATTATAGAATTTCAGGATGGTTTTTTCATTTCTGGAAAGCCATTATATTTAACTTTCAGAATCAAACTATTCTAGGTCTAAAGACACAAGTGCTGAATTTAAATGGGAGGACTGCAAATGGGATAGCTGATTCCCTTGATAAGAAAGGAGTTATGAGGCAGCATTTGTTTTGGGCTGCTATGTAAGACTGAATGTAGTACTTTGGGCTGGAAGTCTTTCCCCTTTGTATTAACTCTATAAAATTTCTCCTTGCTGATAAAAAAAAAAAAATCCAGGCCTAATTTCAGTTCAAATTTCTATGCCATTTTTTCCTTGATTTGTCTACACAATTCTAATCTGTTTCTTTCTTTTTTCTCCTTTTCTTCTTGTGTTAGGATTGTATAAGCTCCATATAAATTGTGGTGGAAAAGAGGCAGAAGTTAATGGTAACAAATATGAAGCTGATCAAGCTGCAGGAGGGCCTTCAAAGTTTTTTAAAGTTAATTACTGGGCATTTAGCAGTACTGGTAGCTATGTGGACAATAATAACTACATAGATATTTATATAGCATCAAATACCTCAACACTCTCAATGGAAGACAGTGTATTGTACACAAATGCACGTGCTTCTCCCAACTCTCTCACTTATATTGCATACTGTCTTTTGAATGGGAGTTATACTGTGAAGCTCCATTTTGCGGAAATCATTTTTACAAATGAAAAAAACTATACCAGCCTTGGCAGGCGTGTATTCGATGTTTATATTCAGGTAGTTTACCATGTTTATATGGACATATAATTTCAATAGCTTTTAAAGTAAGGTTTAATTGCGATCAGTCTAATGCAGGGAAATCTGGTGCTGAAGGATTTCAATATAATGGATGAAGCAGGTGGAGCTGGTAAGGCAGTTATAAAAGAATTTCCCACAGTAAATGTGACAACTGACACTCTGGAAATTCGTTTCTATTGGGCTGGGAAGGGAACACAAAGAATCCCTTCTGCAGGAAACTATGGTCCTCTTGTATCAGCCATCTCTGTAGAGGCCAGTAAGTAGCATGCTTTTTCCAGAACTTGTTACAGTAAATGCTAGTTAACTAATTAAGTGTGAAACACTACTATTGGTTTATGTATATCTCAATGATGATGTGTTAAATATCTAAGGTATTTGGTTTAAATTGGATGATTTAGGCACATACCATTTTTGATAAAGCAGGGAGCACCCCTAATTATCACCAAAAATACATATTTTAAAAGACTAAAGCACCCTATTCATTTAATTTTATATTTATAAAACAGATATGTTTTGTATCTCTTTGATAAGAGTATGCCCAAATCAGCATCCAGGAAAATGAACATCAAAGAGGTGGTTAACCAAGACTTCCTACCCCTTTGGGGCACTAGAGGTGTAGTGATGCACAATGCTTTATCTATTTTACTTTTCTTATTGTTGTAAGTAGTAATATAAGTGGAATTATTGTCTGCTTTCCCTTCTTATGTTTCTTTTTTTTCTTTTTTTCTTTTTTTTGATAAGTGAAGAGTATTATATTATATTGAAATAGGGGAGAACCCCCAGGAACACATATACAAAGTA